GAACAGGGATCAGTTATAAGTGTTGGTGTTTGTGTAGAGCAATTGACAGCAATGAAATATTTGTCTAAAACTTTGTGCAGAGTCAGAAAAACTCTACGCTTCCTACGTTGTAGCAAGGTGGAATGCCTGTTTGGGGTTGGAGCTATTCTGCACCAAGCTGAAAAGTCAGGGGAGAAGTCAAGAGAAATGAGAGAAGGATCCTGATTGAATCTGAACTCCGTTATGAACTCAGTTAATGTGATGTGTCTTAAAAGATTGACCTGTATAAGCAGCAATCAGTTCCATGGCCAACACAAAGTTGCCTCTGATGACCTCCTTTGAGCTGTTTAGAACCTGCCGCTGTAGGATTTTATTTTTTTTTTTCCTGGAACCAGGAAATTCTTACTGCAGAATGTGTATTAATCCTGGGGAGCATATGGTGGGAGAATGTCAATGAGGGGGGAACAGAATCTGAAAGATTGTGAATAAATACTCCTCTCTTAACTGGAGCTTGAGGCCCTGCTGAGTACCAAAGGGGAGACCTTGCAAAAATGAGATCTGTCTGCCTTTCGTGCGCTGGCAAGAGAGGGATGATTCTTAAAGCGTTTTTTAAATTATTTTAAACAATGCCTGGGGTTTATGACAGATGAAGTGAGAGAGAGAAATGTCCTTTGGTTCAGGGGAGATAAGTGAATGTGGGTTTCATGTATTTCTAGTGAGTTTTTAGAGAATAAATTTTAGGCATTGAATTTACAAGCTTTTGCTGTATCAATAGAACGGAAAAGGGATGCAGTTCTGAAGTGTTCTGTTGTAGAAGACTTTATACCACAAGGGAAACTTTAACCCAACTCCTAAGGCACAATAATTTATGCCAGCATGAATTTGCTGCAGACTTCACTTACTGAATGTTTTCTAGCATACACTTTAATTTCAGCTAACTGTTGTTAGGACTGATTGGTTCTCCTATTAATCCTGACCAAACTTTACTTTTTCCTCTTAAGATATGTGTTTGAAACACAGTTAACTAGGATATGGCTAACGAAGATAAAACCTGTTTCCTTTTTTGTTGTAGGGATGGAAAAAGTCACAGCTGGTACTAGGATGTGTTGTCAGGTTTCGATTTTCTACCCGTAACTTCATTATTTCAAATTAATTCTTAATTTCTCCCTTTTAAATAGTGAAACGTAATTAATAATTTCAAGCCTGTTTATTTATGACATTATTGTGATTTTTTTTTTTTTATTACAGTACTAAAGACTAATGAAAAAGGATCCTCTTACTAGGTGGAGTAGACCTTGGCATTTATTTTTTTTCCTGCAATGTATGAAGTATTGTACCAGAGTATTAAATGAAATGTAATATTTTATTGAAAAATTTCTATCCTTTAAAAGGAATACGTTTAGGATGTCATCAATTTGATGTGAATCATGTAAATGTTGATAATGCGCTGTTTATTATACATCTAGTGTTTCAAAAGACTCACTTATTGCCTTTTGCCCACATACATTCTGTAGACCATTTACAGTTGTCAAAATGTGACATTAAAATAATAGTTCATGTATAGAATTATTGGTGGTTGTCCATTGTTTTCTGTGCTGGTATTTATGGGTCTTAGTTCAGCCGCTCTGCTGGCTGCATTGTGATTTTTTTTTTTTTTTTTTTTTTTTATTGCTGCGAAGCTATACTACCAGAAATAAAAGCATATCTGTAAACATCAGAACTTTGAAAAAAAGGGGAAAAAGAAATTAAAAAAAAAAAGAAAAAGGAAATAAAAATCATTTTCTTAAGATGGTTTGTCAGTTACTCTGTTCTCCACCTTGCAGTCAGGAAAGGTGACGTTGTACGGGCACTAATCTTCCCGTCTAGATCACAGTGTTTCCGAGCTGCACTGCTGAGCCCCCCGCGGGATGAGATGCTGTTGGAGAGCAGCTGGCCTTCCTGAGAGCCAGTGGAGCAAAACTCCCGTTAAGTGTGATGGAGGCGAGCTTTTATCCCTGTGTTCCTGCCATCCGCTGCCGGCCGGCTGCCCCGCGGGAGGGTCTCCGTGCTGTCCAGGTACTGCCTCCCCAGTCAGCCCTGGAGTCCTGCGCTTGTGTCCCTGCTGCCTTCTGCTTTTCTTTCCTGCTCCACCTCCCGATTATTGACCCTCCTTGTTTCTTTCCTGATTTTTATAACTTGGTGTGGAACTGCCTCAAAACCGAGATGAGGATTCGCCTCTTTTTTTTGGACAAGTATTAGTGTGTAAACCAGCACTTCTAATTGGAGAAAGGAAGGACAATCCTCTTCTTTCTCTGTCCGCATCACACTGAGCTGCAACCAGTTCTGGGGTGAGGGAGAAAGAAGCTGTTGCTCTCACTCCTGCTGCTCCTTCCAGATCTTTCATCTCTTGCACCATTTGTCTTTGGGGCTCTGCTGTTTCCTGAGAGCCTTTTATGCCAGCACCATGCGGTGGCTCAAAGGAGGGACTGGTGCTTTGAAAAGGAGCTGTGTTGCACCCCAGGCTCCTTTCTGCCAGCTGCTGCTACCATACTTCAAAAGCTATCAAAATTTCTGCCTCTCTGTAGCACTTGGAGCTAGACACTTCCAAAAATGGGATGTCCTACCTGTTCCCTAGGCTGGAGCAGAAGAGCGTACACGTGCCCCGAAGTGTCGCATATCAGTCTAATTTTAGGTCCACTAATACTGCTTTTTCTTTCTTACAGCTGCTGGAATGTTCCTGCTGGGCATGTCGTTGCTGTTACTGATTCCCAGAAAGGAGCCTGAGTGGCTTTGCTAACACATGAAGGGTTTTTAATTCAAGGAAAGGCTCCACGAAGCATTAGCTCTCCCCTCGGTCCAGCTTTCGGGGATGAGTGGTAAAAATGCAGCTGAGCCATCCTGCAACTTTTTAGGCGATAAATACTGCAGCGTTGTAACACGGACAACACGAGCGGTGCCCGTTGAACGCAGAGCAAATACCAGCTGAATTTGTAGTAAAACAAGCTTAATCTCAAGGCGATGGCAAAGCATAGAAATAATCTGCTGAAATGCCAGGAAGGAGGCAAAGCTCTGTGGTTGAGGCCTCTGCAGATTCCACGTACAAGCTGAATTCAAATGAGGACAGTAGCTATGTAGAGCAGCTTGGTTTTAAGGCGATTATCCTGCAGAGTAAGATTTTTTTGGTGGTTGTTGTTGTTATGAATGCGTCTAACAGTTTACTCCGTGTATTGCAATGGTTTTATAATCTGGTTTGGGGTTGGGGAAGGAGGGGGGGCTGGTCCAATCGGAGAGTTTTGACAAAGATTGAAAGCAATAGTGATACGGTGACACTTAGAGCACCTCCTGCTTTCG